GAGCAAAAAGAGGACTGGACAAAAGTAATAATTTTTAATTTTAGAATCTACAACCACAGCTCAAGGGTAATCACCTTACAACTTCCGATGAAGCCAACTAACAATCCTTTCCACTAGCCTTTTCAAAAGAAGTGAAAAGTGCTCCAGCTTCAATCCTTGAATTAACGACACGGATCTAAGATCCATCATTCACCATTGCTTTTCTCAACTATCTCCATTTTCTATCCGACTTTCTTTTTATGTCCACCCAAGCAAACTCTTCATACTTAAGCTGAATCTATCGGTAGGTAAGAGGTTTCATGATTGCGTTACAGGATTACGAATATAATCTCTCATGTCCCCTTTACTTCTATGTCCCGCACTTCTGCCCCTGTCTGTCATTAATATTCATTATCACTAACCCATTATCCTCCCAGTCTAACCGTCGAAGCAGCACTGGGCGACTTAGAGCTAAGCCAGCTTCAGCTCTGGCCGACGTTGACGAGGCTGATGAGTTGGATATTGATTATCTAACTACGCCAGGCTCTACTGGGCAAACTGGACTGGCTACCCACACCTATTTTGTTGACTCTGAGGATGCCAGCCGGGCGGCACTGAATACGACGGGAACAATGACGCTGACTCGTGGCACGACGCTTACTCGAGTAACCACACGTTACGATCCTGCACCCAACCAATCACCTAATCCTCATCTCTCTTCAGTGTTTCCTTTCCCAGTCGCCCCAGCGTCGACGAATGAGACACTGGCAGAGGTACCACAAGTTGTTTCATTAACTGCACAAAGATTGGCTGGAGCAGCTGCAGCAACAAGGGAACGCATGGCAACAATGAACCGGCAAAAGCCTTTCAGCCGAGTACGAGATGACTCTACATCTGAATATTGCGGTTCGCCGCCAACCTACCTCGCGGGTGCAGAATTAGCCAGTACTGAGAGCCTCGAGGTTGCTGGACCAGTTGGGCCTGACACAAGCGAAGTTTCTCGTCTGGGCGGACAGGACGTATGGGCGCCAGCATCCCTTGCAACGGATCCGCCAACCAACATTACGGTAGCAGCATATGACAAATATGATGGACCCGATGTGAGGTCAGGACGATATCCAAGACCTGGAGATGATGAAAGCGATGGAGTCCTTGCTGCCGCTACCGGGAATAGTGGTGATAGATGCGATGACTCTGAATTTTCAGGCCAGGTTGGTACCAGTGCATCAGCAGAACTGCTGGCCAGGAGAGGCACTCGGGCACTCGAAAGAGGTCAGGTCGCTGAGACAGAAGCCAGTTTTCTGGACTTAATTAGCGCTTCAATACCTGGCTCTGATGAGGAAATTAACGAAATAGAGATTGAGGCTATGCGATCGCGTGGCTCGCTTGATTTTGTCGCTGGTGGAACAAGGGCAAACGGCTCTAGGTGCAGATAGTGTGGATTCGAAAGTGGACCTTCTGTGAGTAGAATATTCAGCAGAGATCATCTGGAGTTTTGTACAAATGCCAAAAGCAAACTCGCACGTTTCTCCATTTAATAAATGGCACCCTGACTTTATTTTTATTTGGCTTATCTATCCTTGGTTCTACAAGGCCAATTAGAATATGATAATTTCCTATGTGCCTAGTTCGAGCCAGTTACGCCCAAAACCATTTTGTGATAGTCAGAAAAGTACACGAGTGTGGCATCCATTTATAACGCTTCTCGTAGTGCGCTCTAAAAGTTGGTTGTATTTTTGGGAAGATTTGGCCTAGAATTAATTGGCAATGATTCAGATAACATGTTTAGAAAATCATCCCACTATAAAAATGTAAATAGAACTTGCTTGTAGGCCATATCCGCCATGTGACCCACTGGCACATGTGGCTGTGGTGGAGTGATAAAGCTATGGCTCGATGTATATGGCTTGAATTATAACCCCTTTGAGGATGCTAAGAACTAGACTAAATTAAAACGGTATATAGCATTCGAGATGAGAAAGCCCCTTTGGAAGGATGGTTAAATGTAGTCGAAGGTATAAAGAGCAAGACAGAATGATGTATTCTCGTCAGTCTATTTTCGCTATAAAGTGGATTTAATCGTTTTCGCAACCTGGCCGTGTTTTCTGGGCGAACCTTGCCCGAAATCCTCTGCCATAGTAGGACCTTAATGGCAGATCCGAGTATCTGACTCACGTCCAATGCAGTCTCACTAAGCAGGTCCTAAAAAACCTAATTCCCAAGCTTGCTTATATCGCCCTACTGGTATAGACTTACCTAAAATTGTTTCCCTTTAATTCAGTGCGGTATGCGTGCTGGGTTGGTGAATGTCAGACATTTTCCTCAATCATAACTATGATTCAACTCGTATAGCCCTTACGACATTAGTACTTCTATCTCCGGCCTCAGCTGCATCTATCGAATAAAGTTGTAGTCGAACTAGTCTTCGCCCTGCTATCCATGATTTAACAGAAAGGTGGGCAAGCGATACACTTCGTGTGTTCAATTGATGAGTTGTAGCTTGGTTCTAAAGATGGCAAGGCTTGATGACTGCAAGTAAAACGGCTTGGAATGTAACATCTTAAGCGTGGTTTCTATCAATAGAGTAAAAGAGGTCTTTAGGCAGAGGCCGTGTTGCGAAAACTAAATCAAACCAGTTATATAAGGCTAAAATAAGTTCGGTGGCTCTAGGAGGACTCTAGTCCTTATTCAAATCAATAGTCTACCCATTCAGTATACATTTGTATCGAATACAGGTATTTTACAAATGAAAATGGCACTTTTTTTAGGAAACAAGGTATAAAACAACATTGCATCAATCTAATTACGGCAATCAGTATATTTAAAGGCCAACATACATGCATATGAATGTAAATAAAATGAGACTGCATCCTACATTTTTCTGTTCAAGCCTCAGTGTATAGGAAAATATATCTTGCTGCTGGCTATAGGGAACATAGTATCTCTTCTTTGTAACTAATTCACTTCTTCTCGATCTCTCTTGAACTTCTTAGATTCTACAAAAGGCAAAGGCCTTAAGGAGTTGTAGCAATTGCATCCCTA